TCTCCCCGCGTCCCTGTGCCGATCGTGGATGTGGGCGGGCGGTGAGCGGGAGGCGGGGAGGAGGTGTGGCGTGTGGAGCGTGGATGCGGGCGGGCGGATCTGGCAGCGGTGAGCGTGAGGTGGGGAGGAGGTGTGGCGCGCAGCTGTGTGGAGCCGTGAACAGGGCCAACCAATCGGAAGCTGTTAATCGATGATTGAAAAAGTTGACAACTTTTTCAATAATCGATTATAATCGATTATGTCGATTAGTTGTTGCAGCCCTAGTCTGTGCTACATACTGTGATAGCTGTGATCTTTCGGCTGCAGCTCCAATGGCTTCCCCTCTGCACACTGAACACAGCTGCTCACACAGTTGCTCACGCAATGATTTTCAGCATCCACAGCAGCAAAACTGGACCAATGTAAGTTTGTAAAAAAGATAATTCCTGGAGTTCCACTTTTAACTGGAAGCAAAGGCTCCTGAAGTATATTTATACCCCAGACTAAAGTTAGGTAGGGCTTCTTTTCGATTCTGGTTGCTGCCTATTTTAGGCCCCGTTCACACCGAGGCATAGAAGAGACGTGCATCACGGGAACTTTGCCGTGTTTGGCGCACATACCTATTGATTTCCATTAGGTCTCTCGACCCAACCGTGGAAAATACATTTTGAAAATTTGGCGACATGCGTTCTGTGTTTTTTCCTGGGTGTTCATGCACGCTCTCACACATGTGAACCAGCAGGTAAAAATCAAGTGTACCCTAGCCACGCTTGGGGCACCATTACCTAGTAATGGCAACACAAGCAAGTATCACAAACGCATATCGAAGCGAGCATGTTTGACGCATTGTTGTGGATAGGGCCTTAAAGAGTGTCAGACACATATGCTACTCTTTTCCTTTGAATTTGACTAACCACTGTCTTTCTAAAGTTAAAATAAATAAAATGGAAAAGGTGCAAAAAAAACAACCAAAGTGACAAAAAATAAGCAGACTGGCCGTTCTGTCGGAATGAGAGCAATAGTTCGAGGGCCATCAATCACTGATAACACTAAACTGATGAGCGGTAAAAGCTTTTAAAGCGTCGGCTGTGGCCAATTTTGGGTATGCTAGTTTTTTGCGAGTGGGCACAATTTTTAAGCTTGACATGTTTGGTGCCTATTTACCCGACGTGACCCCGTCTTTTATATTTTACCAAAAAAGTGGGTAATATTAGTTGTTTTATAACAATGTAAAAAAAAAAACTTTTTTTTTTCAACATTTTCAGTAATTTCTCCTGAATATAGTAAAAAAATAAAACCCGCAGTGGTGATTAAATACCACCAAAAGAAAGCTCTATCTGTCCCCAAAAAATGGTATAAAATTTGATTCAGTACAGCGTTGCATGACGGAATAAATGTCAGTCAAGTACTGCAGCGCTGAACACTGAAAAATGGCCTGGCCAGGAAGGGGGTCTAAACACCTGGTCTTCAAGTGGTTAAAATCAGCATATAACAAAGAACGCTTAAAGGCAGTTGTAATGCCACACAAATCGTACAAGTTTCCTGGGCGCATTCTCTTATACTACTCAATTTACGGTATTGCATCCAGAGACAGCGTCCTCGTTACTCGGACAACCCATGAAACGTCAGCTTCACAACAGGACGTGTACCCCGTCAACACTTTCGAGCGAATGCGTAGAAAGGTGAATGAGCAGCGTGATGACGTATCATCACGCACATACTAGGCGACATTTGGACGCATGCGAGTTGGGAATCGGCCTTGTTATTATTTATGTGGGGGTTCAAGATGGCGGCGTTGTTCGGGATGTTTGAGGTGCAGGAGCTCTTGACAATATACAGGACTGAATAGCTTGGCCACCAAAAGCAGTAGATAACCCATTCTGGGCGGCAAATAAACGGACGGGTGATACACGTGCCCGAGTCAAATCATAAGCCAGCTATACAAAGCATTGATGTGCTGGGGGAATGGCGGAGCCGCGCAGGGTGCCGTTTGTCAGTCTTTTACCAATGAAGCCGCGTGAGAGCGCAGGGACTTTGATAGAACAACAACAGCAGCAGCGGAATTCCTCGCTCATATCTGCAACTCAGCGCTCACAATCAATGAGGCCTCCTTTGGCAGGCACACAGCAGCAGTCAAGGCCTCCGCAACAGACACCAACTCAACGACCGCAGCGTGAAGTAGCCGCTTCTTCCTCAATTGTCGGGGAGGCCGGCTCCTGTCACCCGATCACCAGTGCAGAGGAAAATAACCCGAATGCAGATGGGACGGTTAGGCTAGAGCTGGCTTTATCAGACCCCACCGATGAGAGGTGTCCAGAATTCAGTTACAGGGAGATGCTGAAGAATGAGCAAAGACGGGTTGGAGATGGCAATCCAGGACAGGTGAGAAAACGGCTCTCAAATTGTTGGCTGGCAATTGCTTTGGGGCTCAAATAATCTGGTGCTGTAGAACATGACCCCTAAACCACCTCAGATCCGCAGTAAATATTTTGAAAAATATTTGTGACTTTGTCATTTTAAACCCCCAAACAGCTATACATCTACTAAAAACAGAGGCCCAGGAGAAAACCAAATTATACCTGCAACTTTAGGTTGCACAATATTTATGTACATGTTTATCAAATACATTTTTTTAGGAAACAATACATTAAAATGAATGTTGGTGCACGCACAAAGAATATAATACCCAATTCTTGGTCAAATATAAACATGTTGGGTAGATACCAAAGATGTCAAACCTTAAAATTGTACATGCCCATGGAATGTAAAACAAAAACGACATGACCCAAAATTGCCCATATGCGACGCTTTAAATGTTTTTATTGTTCATTAATATTGAGTTAACAGTGACTGATGACGCTAAAATTTTGCTTTCCCTCCTACTGGATATGTAACCAGTGGTGCAACTGTTGTTTTTGCACACAGGCGCACAATTTTGCATTTGTGTGTATGTGGGGTGAGGGGGGAGAAAAAAACTTTTTGTTTTTTACTAGCCAGAAACCTGTGACTAGAAAAATGTATGCCAAAGTCTGGAAAGTCTTCAACTCCTGGCTCAAGTTGAATACCAGAACTCAGGACTTGCCTGCGATTCTAGATTTTCTACCTTTTAAGACTGCTTTGTTAGTGGCTACCACTTCTGCATGTAGAGTTAGTGAGTTGGAGGCCCTTCTTGGAATCTTTCCAGATGGGAGTATTCTGAGGAGAGTGACCCAGCTTTTTTTTTTTTTTTAACCTAAAATCGCTTCTAAAGGTGCCTCGCAAGACTTTTGTCTTGCGAGGGTTGTAAAGTACTTAAAAAAAAAAAAAAACCTACGATCTGCCCATCTTGGACAGGCAGATCGTACTTGCGATCGCGATGACAGCAATGCTGAACGAGCAGTGTGTGCTTGCGCACACCGGCCCGTTCGGCAGTGATCTCTCGATCATGTTAAAAACCAGCCGAAAATCGTACGATTCTCGGCTGGTTTTCCAACATGCTCGATATACAAAAGTCGTGCGACCGTACATTAGAAATGGTCGCACGCCTACCATACACTGTACGATTCTTGTACGATCGTGGGATTTCCCGCTATTCTAGTTAGAGAATCGTGCAGTGTATGGGCGCCTTTAGTTCTACAGATCTCAGGAAATGATTGTGCTTTCCTTTTGTGGTAATTCTTCTAACCATAAGGGAAGGTATTTTCATTGTCTTGTTAAATGCTGCATTCTTGCTTAACTGGAAGCTACAAAAGATATCAGAAAGTTGGATGCCTTATTTTTGCTTTTTTCGGGCAAATGTAGGGGATTCCGTGCATCAAAGTCTTCCATTGCTAGATGGATTAGACTTGCTTTTTTCGAAGCATACAGCTTGATGGATAAGCTTCTCTTATCCTAGTAACTGCTCATTCCACCAGGGCTATGGCCACTTCCTTGTTTTTAGAAAGCTGTTGCCACTCCGAACAAATATGTAAGGCAGCCACATGGTCAAGCTTTTCTTCATTTGTTTGACACTGTCTAGATCTTTTAACAAGCCAGGATCAGGCTTTTGGAAGAAAAGCTCTTTAAGTTGTAATCTCTCCCTAATGAAAAGTTCTTGTTTATCATATGACCTGGAAGACGTTTGGGGAAAACCAGAGTTAGACTTAGCGGTAACTTTTTCCAATAGTCTTCTAGGACAGCATGGTTCCCGCCCTTTGCAGGGGACTATTTTGGCATGTTTGTTCCCGTCTTATGTTGTTTTTTTAGATTTCCGTTCTTTGGTTCTCATATATGCTGAGGAGCATCCTGTGAGGGCTGTCTTTTAAATTCTCTATGGTGGCGTGTTACCTGCTTGAGGGGAGGTACCTCCACATCTCACATGTTTGTTGTCCTGGAAGACTATTGGAAATAGTTACCGGTAAGTTTTTTAACCACTTCTTTTTTTTTTTTTTATCCCTTTTTGTTTATGAATTTTTTTAAAATTTATAACCCCCCCCGTACATCAGGTGTCTATTAGAGAAATGATAGACTGAAATTGCTGATATCCTTGCCGATTGCCAGTTCAGTGATCGATGACCCGCTGTGCCAAGCCCGCACGAGGGATGGCGGCACCATTTTCATCACCATGTAAGTGATCAGGCAGCTCTACAGATCTGCTGCGATGCTAGTGTAACCCCTTTAGGACAGCAATAATACATATATAAACAGCATGGTCCTGAAGTAGTTAAGCTGGCCACATGCTGGAAGATTTTTGGACAAACATTCATATGAAAAAATCTCGAACATTTGATAATGTCATCAGAGAGTCATTTTTTTTATTTTTTATTTTTAAGCAGGTTTAGGTTTTTTTTTTTAAATTTAGGATACTGTAGCAGTCACATTAGTTACTTTTGATGGTGTGTATCCCACCTCCTCCAGTCTGCAGCACAAAATCTTCCCTTTATGCCAGTGGATACACCCCTGAGCACCTAATGTCACCTTAAAGTGAATCTGTCATCTCAAATGTGCTATCACATAGGGGGCCTATGAGCACCCCCCATGTGATCGCAATAAAGTAAAAAAAATTAAAGTTAAATAAAATTAAAAATACCCCCAAAAAAGTTTAAAATCCTCACACCCAGGAAACGCGCGCATACTTACGGAAGCACAAGTCGGGTGCACCTACATATGAAAACAATGATTGCGCTACACATGTCAGGTATCTCCGCGTGCACCAGAGTGAGAGCAATAATTTTCCATCCAATATTCATGGCTAACTCTCTAGACTAATGACCGGGCTTTTTATTTTTTTTAAATAAAAGTTTGGCTATTACCGTATATACTCGAGTATAAGCCGACTTTTTCAGCCCATTTTTTGTGCTGAAAAATGCCCCCCTCGGCTTATACTCGAGTCAGCGTCTCGAGCACTGAGCAAAGTGAGTACGCTGGTCAGGTTTCTTCTTACTTACCTCGCCGAGCGGCGCGTCACTGCTGCTCCGGTGGGCGGCGCTCCGAGCGGGGTCATCTGGAGTCTTCGGGTCCATATTTAGGTGG